ATCCTCACTACAAGTCATTACGTTTAATTGTATTTAAATGTTTAACTACGGTAGGAAAAAAGATTCATGGGATAATTTATACACGTAGTTCACCAAACTCTGGGAAGGTGTAGTGGCCGTCTCACCGTCTCCACTTTCCCATGAACTATCCCCGTGAACAATGGCACCTTCCCCGCCTCTTCCGGGCAGGGTCAAGTGTCAGGTATATATTAAATGTGACTTTGGTCGTTACTGTAGCATGACCTCTGACTGGCGAACATGACCCCGAGGTGACCCCTATCACCATCACCGTGTTAGTAGCTATCAGGTAGTCTGTTGGCCGTACTCACCTCTCATCGTCGGCACAAACCATATCTCCGTGAGCTCGTTTTCCTCCTACACGGATTTAGATACAAACTTGCCAAATACAAAATAAATATAAACTTTTACCAATGCTGCGGTCACCCATTAAAATTTGTCAATAAGTGAATAAAAAATAAATTGTCAAATTTCTGAATAATTATAGATACAAAAGTTGAAAACAAATTTTGATATAAATATCTAGTAAAGGGAAACCAAAGAGAGACGAAAATATACAAGAATCTTTGATATGTTATCAGTCGGCCGATCAACAGCGAGGGTACACCAACGTCTTCCCTTCGCGGTCCATCTTGATGAGTTTAAAAGGCCAGAAATGTGCCATAACGCCCACAGGAGGTTGGTTTCTGCCCCATCCCGCCCCGCCCCAAGCTGGCTGTACCGCATAGTTCCGCGACAGCTGTTGGACAGACCAACAAAGACTACGGTCGCTGGTATCTCCGCACATTCAAGACCGCAATCAATACTAAAACTGAAAAATGAAATCTGATTTACGATCATGCCTTCCCACCGCGAAAGTGATCTAGACAGTATTTTCCAGACTGGATGAAACGGGACCTAAACTTTCATGACCAGACGGACAGAAACCAGAGACGAGATAAACAGAGACCAATTAAGCCCCAACGAAAAGGCGTCGCGTCGGCTCGGGGGGAGGCTTACCGCTTCTCCAAAACTAACATCTGGGGATCGTGTTTACAGTAGGACAGCACCGCACCCTGCCTACACCCGCTACCAAACTCCACCCCAGAGCCCCCGCCCGTACCAAACATCCATGGGTTGGTTATCACATCCATCATGGGCTGGTTATCACATCCACCTCATGAAAAGTCCTGCACTATTCCCAAGGGTCCATGCCACACCCATAATCCAAATACACAAGGACCCCCAGATGCCAACGCCTCAGTTGAGTGACGGGGAAAGATTACTGACAACGCCACTGTTACTCCAAAGTGTTGAGTTATGCTGTACCGTCCGGCGTACGTGAAGACACTTACCAAGCATCGACAAGGTTTTTAAACACACCATTAAGTGTCCTTCCCCATCACCGCCACATGTCCAGGGCCAAGAATAACAGCTGAGAGGAAGGAGACGGCGAGAAGGGGAAGGTGTGAGGCAGTTCCCACTACCCCCTGGGGAGACCTGCCTTCCCCTCGGTTCCTATTACTGTACCTCACACGACCGCCCACCCGACACTCCCTCAACCTCTAAATGTACACCACGCGACCACCAACTTCACATAGTCTCTTCAATAGTAACTTCTTTATCAAGTCATCATTATTACTCAAGGTTTTTCGGACAATATGTGATCCTGACACTATTTGCAAACTTTTCAAACAATTAACCATCCATTTACTTGTTATGTATCAAAGTTTTAGCACTATTGAAGTCTTTATTAACACCGTAACTTGACAGATTAACGTATTTTCCCTATAAATTATTTCATAAGCACCAACTCTCTTGTTTACTGATATAATACGAAATAATATTCCTCCTTAACATTGCATAACAGATTTAAGAGATATTTTTAAGTGTTTCAGGACGTACAGGAAGGAGCTCCTCAATATGAAGACTGGTAGGAGCTGTGAAAATCCCATGCAAGAAGTTCTTCCTGTCGTGGAGTAAGTGTGGTGGGCGGGGGCGAGGGGCGGCCACTCAACCTGACACCTTCCCTCACCCTCACTCACACGCACTTGGTCTGGTAGTGGGATGTCGTCAGCACAGCCAGCCAATACTACACCCTCGTCTGGCTTACACTAACTGCGACGCCTACTGACGGTGTCTTGGCATTCCTTCAGTTGTATGTTCTCTACTAGGTCGTCACTCAGAGCAACATATATGTTACATTCTGCTCCGAGACAAACAGTGAAGAAGCCATTCAGAAGTTAATATCTCGGTGATTAGGTCGTTTTTCTTTACTCGTTCAACAAACTTACATACGACAAGATTTTAACGAACAAAAACTCCAATTCAGTGAAGGAGCTGTAGAAGAAACCAAGGCCAGGTGCAGCCACAGCTTAAAAGCACTTGTGCCTGTTATCTCTCACGCCTCCACCACCCCCCGCCACCACTTCACAATGACAGACGCTCCCCTTACCTCACCTCCTCCGCACTGAAGTACCCTCCCCAACCCTTAAACTCCACCCCTCCCCCATTTGCCTCACCTGACATATCAAACACCCACAGCTCACCCTTCTACCCACATCATTACCTACCCTGTTAACGTCGTCTACAGTAGCTCTGACGTTCACAACCACACCCATTAAGCTACCCCCACGACCACACCCTCCTAATACATGGTTCCACCCCGTAGCTGGTGGACTAAAAATACCCCCCAAGATACAGGTAAGGGAGGACAGGTGAGGAGTAGTTGCGACAGGTACGTGACTTCCAGCAGGTGAGGTCTATTACAACGGTCACTGTTTGGGGTCTTCCTTCAGTGTTGTTTAGGTAAGCAAGTTGGGGTATCATGGGTGATTGATCGCCGCCGGGGAGGAAGAGTTAAGCCCTGTTTGAGAGGCGAACACCTGGTCACTGTGTTTACATTCATACAACTTAATACAGTACGGATAATTTTCATGTTTTTCTTCTAAATATTTCTCTGAAGGTTATGGTCCGGTCCCCACTGCGGCGTTTATAATAGTGAAAAGTAAATAAATAGAAGACTGTTTACAGAATTAATTTAATGTGGCAATTATCTTCAGTCAACAGTACCCACTCTTTAACTTTTCGTTCAGCTAACTCTAATCATTTTCTCTTCTAAGTAACATTATCTATAGCTATTTAGTTTCTCGCTTTACTGCTCACAACTATTTCATAACTCTCTCACACACACACACAGGTTACCTCATTTATTTTTCTCCCTGAAGCTACGACGACACATCCCTTTGACCTCCCTTCCTCCTCCAGCGCTAACATCTATGCCCTTGACTCTTCAGGCTTTTGCGCCCTTAACTCATAAGACATAAAGGCAAGCATGAACTTAGCATGCTTCCCTGTTGGGCGCTGTAAACGCTTCACCTTACACAAGGTTGTAAGGGGAGTGCCCAATAAAAAAAGAAAATCTCCCTCTAACATTATACCAGTACCTCCCTCTAGCACCACACCACCACCTCCAGCACTACACCTCACCTCCCTCCCTCCTCAAAAACAACATTATTCTTGTATGATAGTCGCTCGCTAATGATCCCACTTACTTTCTCCCTTCAAGACAGTGAGTGACCAGCCCAAGACGTGTTGATCATACTCGCCAGGTGAATCATCATCAAGTGAATCATCTCCAGGTGGTTCTTCGTAACACTGATCTCACACAGGTAAATTCACTCTGCTCAGTCACTGTGTAATTTATCAACATAAGTCAATGGATAGACAGGTTACCATAGTACAGTATAATGTTACAGGTGAATGGTAAATATATTATTGTAGTTATAATTCAGTTTTGTTACACGTAATTCTCGACGGTGTGTGTGTGTCGTGAGAGGTCAATAAAACCCAATAGCTTAACCACAGGTGAAGTAAGCTCATTATCCCCAGGTAATATCTCTCAGAATAAGTTGTGATGAAAGATTGGAAAGTTAGGGTGGTCAATCTTCAGGTGAAATAAGCTTGGGTGGCGAGTCTTGCCGTGATTCAATATTTATTTTAAATGAGAAGACAACTGAGTGACTCCCTTGAACAGCAACACAATTATGGCAACTAAAAATGACACCGAAATTGTTCCGAGACTCTTAACTAGGTACTTTCTCTGACTATTAGTTAAGGGTGAAAATATTAATGAATGTATCTTTGACAGTTCAGGTGTTGTGTGGCAGCTACCGGTTTGCTTCTATAGATAAACACAATCAAATACCCGGCTTGGTTTTCTACCCCCCCCCCCCCCCACTGACCTATCACTCCCCCAGCTCCGCCCTTTCCCTGCAGGCCTCCGTGTCTTGCCCAGCAGGGGGGAGTCCTTGTCTGGTGAAGTCAGGTCAGCCCAGGTCAACTCTCTAATGCTGCTAGCCAGAGGCTATAGTCGGTCTTATGTTACAGGGCAATAAGGGTATGGTGTGATCCCTAGTATTCACACACACACACGGTATTCATATAATGTGGTTGGTAATAACCCCCCACAAGACCTTAATAAGTACAGGTCCCCCATGCACGGCCGCTCAGGTATACAGTCCCACGGAGGGGTCTTTAGAAAACGTACAGGTAGGGGCGCGGGGACTGAGGTAAGGTTAACGACGCACATCTTGTGGTCCCGCGCGACGTGTTGTTTGAGCTGCGTGAAACTCTGGTAGTTTCCCCAGCATGACCGGCTTATGTAGCACAGGTGTGTTAGGTTAATGGGCTCTTACAGGATGTGTCTGACTGCTGTAAGACAACTTGACCAAAACAAAAAAGGAGTATTTAACACACTGATGGCCACAACCAGTGGTATTTTAATTTAGATAAATGTATTTATTCATAGTAATATATAAACACATTATTGTATTAATCGTCGACAACTGATCATTACATATTATCAATAAGTTAAATTTTAAGAAGTGTTTGTGTAGGAAGAAATTTACTCGAACATCAACATAAAACATGAACAAGATGCACATGTTTATAGAAAAACGTTGACTTGGTGATGATAAACATTATTAAAGTATAGGACTCACCTGAAGGAGGCGACGACGTTGGTAGTGGGCCAGCCCATGACAAAGGAGGTGTCCTGACTCTTGGCCACCTCGGCCACGTCGTCCAGACACGACGACAACCACATCTCCGACACCCGCACCTGTGGGCCGCCACAACACCTGGTTACTCTCACTGCACATGCTGTGTTGAGTCTTTTACCACACACACTATATACAAGACTTTCGCCCTTCTATGGAGGCCGAAAATAGCTGTACATAGTGTATATAAATTATATAATAAGCTGTCGCTCATGTGAGTGAACACAAGACAGGCCTCCTTCCTCAAGAGCCGTGTCACAGAGGCAACACATGAATATCAACCAACCTTCTCTTTGAGTTTGAAGTTGCCACCACTCCTCGCCTTAGCCACCAGCAGGAGGTCGCTGAAGAGGAACAGGTGTCGCTCCTGGGACTGAACACCCTGAAAAATGATCACAAAGGTTACTCCCCTGTACACGGTGGTCTCAGGTGTACACGTAGCGCCCATGTGTACGGTACACAGCGCCCTGCGCATGTGTATTATGTAAGAACACATACATAACGGTGCACTGTATATTCCCTATGAACATAAATAATATATACAGTACATCTGCTGTATATTCACTCTAGGGACACATGCGTTTATATTGACACACCACATACAACACAGTCTCGCTTGAGTTAAACGCTTGACAATTGACAAACGTTTTCCTTGTACAGCGACTGTCCACACATAAATCTTCATTAGGTCCGTCCGTCTGTTAGTCTGTCAGTATAAAACCGAAAGTAGCGCAAGTCATCACATTACGACGGGACTTCTCCGAGTGTCCGCTTAATGAGCGCTAAACGACCTCGTTACGCATACAATTCCCATGATTGTACTTTTACTAACCCCACACATTTTACCGCTTACGCTCTCACGGCATTACCAGCTGGACAAAGGCAAGTGTTTGTTACGTCTGAACAAGAGTGTTACACTTGACAGTGAATTTGACAAGCTAGCAGAAATTTCATAAAATACTTGATATATATATATATATATATATATATATATATATATATATATATATATATATATATATATATATATATATATATATATATATATATATATATATAAAGTCCAAATATATTCCCTACCCATTCAACTCTTTTACTGCCAAGAGATGTTTTTAAAAGAAGTTACGAATCCATTTATGAATGTGGGGCGAGTGTTACCGTGTCCACACTATCCAGCGTCTCCTTCAGGTACGCCTCTACAACGTCTTACATCCCTTCACAATATAAGGAACGATAAGCCTCTTCAGTTTTACTATGCTAAAAAAAATTCTTCGCGGCAGACTGACAACAACAAGACCTCGGTTCACATTCTCAAGGGTTCTACACACCAGTCTATTTTCTAATTGGAGATAAGAGGATCCAGTAACATAGTTACAATACAGTCCCGGTGACATTTCGACGCCATTTTGACAGTCTACTTCTTGGTGTAGCATAAGCGAGTCATTCAGATGCGTTCTCACATCTCCTGTCGGGGAAACCGAGTGTCAACTTTGGTGAATCCCGAGTCTTTGGTATCAGATGGGCGGCTCTTTCTGAGGGCCTGTGGGGACATGTTCTTCTAGGCCATACCTGTCAGGGGCCAGGTGAGTGTGCGAGAGTTAGTACCTAGCGGTCACTGGCTCCTGCTACCGCTATCAGACCATGTTGCAGGTGACGTGATTGTACGGGAGGGGAAAACTATGTTGCAAGAGACGTGCACAGCAAATGAATACCATGATGCAGGGGACGAGTTTGTACGGCATGTCGCAGGTGACGTGTAAAGTACGAAAACATGTTACAGGTACAGTTAATGAACACTATGTAACTGGGGACACGTTAATCTGAAGGTGACCTTATAACAGCGCGCTGCCAGGCCAACTATACACCGCTGTGAGAGGATAGAAAACTTCAGCCTCTATTATTTTTTTTAAGAACTCACAAAAAAAGAGTGAACGCAGTATGTCATTATTGTACCCTGGCAAATATGATCTAATGTTGCAAGATGTCCCAGGCATTAGGAACCTTGAGTATAGAGACAGGTTAAAGCATCTTAATTTGCACTCCCTCGAGAGACGTAGAGCGAGGGGCGACCTGATAGAGGTGTATAAGTGGAAGGCAGGGCTAAACAAAGGGGAAATTACAAAGGTACTCAAACTATCCAACCAGGAGCGAACTCGTAATAATGGTTTTAAATTAGACAAATTTAGATTTAGGCGCGAAATAGGTAAACACTGGTTTGGAAACAGAGTAGTGGATGAATGGAACAAGTTACCAAATATTATTAACTCGAATACGCTGAATAGCTTCAAACATAGGTTGGATGCTTATATGAGCAATAGGGGTTGGGTGTAAACGGGACTGCCAAGTATGGGCCAATAGGCCCGCTGCAGTTTCCTCCATTCTTATGTTCTTATGATTCTGTGTATCAGTGTGTCACAGTCAGAGGTGGATGCAGGAATAATTCAAAATGGAGGATCACTTTATAACCCCCACCCCCCGCTGATGACGCACTCGTTGTTCTTGATGATGTATAGTGACTGATAGCACGTGAGGCAGGACACTACCACGGTGAACTTTTTTCAAATAACAAGATCTTGTCAGGACGGTGCCCACAGAGGCCTGGTCTAAAGTGGGGTCTGTGCCCGCGAGAGTGTAGCCGCACCCTCCACTACAGTTCACAGTTAGCCTAACTTCCAGGAAAGCCCCCCATCCCTAAGGGGGGATGGGTCGGCCCCTCTTATCCCCTGGGTACGCGCCATGTTACAGTAAATCCTGATAAAAGCTGACCAAGTTACTTAAGGCAGCCAACTATGGGGCGTCTTGGTTCTCATGATTATATTTGTGTAGTGAGCCAGGCGGCGCCCCCAAAGGAAATATCTCGCCTGAAGATGTGAAGTACCCGGTGTGTTATTATCTTAATCACGGGTCCTGGAGACCATCACACTCGCATATTTCATCTCCAGCTCCCGGCCGGCAGGTGACAAGCCTACGGGCTCAACACGCCCTCTCCCAGTCTTCAGAGCAGCTAATAAAATCTACGTGCTTAGCTCGCCCGATTATACACTACGATACACCGCCTCGCGTGTTATTATTATTATTATTAACAAGAACTTATGGCTCCCCCTTCCTGGCCTCCTGCACACCCTTTTTCAGGCCACCGTCAGCTCCTGCATTGACGTTCCGACTGCTTGTCACGCTGGCAAGTCATGGAGGTGACCTTGGCGTACAACGCACAAAATCGCGAACATTGGGGACACTCACCCGGTGCCACAGCTACCATGACAACCTTACTCAATCTTCACATCCGTCGCCATAATGAACACTTAGCGTAAGACAAGATTCTTCGAAGAAATGTTAAAGACTAATAATGACAACTGTTGTCCAAACCAGCTTCAAGAGTTGCTTGAGTTTCACTAGAAATTCCCGTCACTCTTGAATCGTACTTGGAGGTCACAGGCACTTCCAACAATTAAAGGATCCAGTGAGAGTAAAAACAACCTTGGTAGCAGAGGAATGTTAAGGTGAGCTTATCAGATACTTAACACTTCCAGGCTCAATAATCCACACGTCCCTATGTTTTTTTTCTGGGTCAATGTTACCAAACCCTCGTTAACTTATGGACAAAGTATATTTGTCTTCGTAATTCATGTCTCACCATATAAACAACTTAACTCATAGAACTGCCAATTTATTAATAAAAATACTCGTAGCGTAGAACTGCCAGTCTAACCATACCTGTCACGCATTACCTCCAAAACACACTCGTTATTCTCCCACAAACTTACGCAAAACACGAACCCCTCTCATAATGTGTGTCCGTCCCCAGTGTTAAAGAGTCGTGTCAGATCAGTAAGACTCAGGTGTTGAGAAAGTGTTCGTGGAGGTCAGTAATCAACCTGCTGGACGCCGCCATTCTTAAGCCTCATTAACGTGTACTGAGGGAGAGGTCCGTGTGTGGTCTGTGTCCGTGGTCCTGGTAGGTGGTTGTGTTGGCCGGTAGTAATAGGACAGTTAGGTGACAGATGGTTGCTGGAAGGTGGGGGTGTATGGGGTCCCAGGTGGTGGTGTGTGGGGTCCCAGGTGGTGGTGTGTGGGGTCCCAGGTGGTGGTGTGTGGGGTCCCAGATGGTGGTGCATGGATCTCTCGAGCGAATGTTCAAAGACCATTATGGAGATGACAAACAGCTATATCAGGGCGTAACAAGTCCCAAATTGGCTATATTTGTAGGAGTGTGGGAGGCAGGTTGGCGTAGGTGGAAAAAATAAGATATTGTCAAAGGGAGGGAGGGAGTGGGAGGGGGTGGCCGGATGCAGCACCTCTACCTGGCCGGATGCTGAGTGTACAGTTGAGCAACACTCCACAATACACCACCCAGCCTTGGTCATATCCTCCGCCTTCGTCTCCCACTCACACAAAACTTTTACCGTACTAATACTTCTCATTACACTAAAGCTTAATACTTCTCATTACACTTAAGCTTAATACTTCCCATTACACTTGAGCTTAAAACTTCTCATTACACTAAAGCTTAATACTTCCCATTACACTTGAGCTTAAAACTTCTCATTACACTAAAGCTTAATACTTCCCATTACACTTAAGCTTAATACTTCTCAATACACTTAAGGATCACGTCATCAAGGGTTACTTATGAAACACTTTGATTTATTCCTCGCACATCGCATTTTATCTCGCTCATATTATTCATCAACCAATCTTACTTAACCTAACCCAACCCCTTACGGTAACTACTGCACTTCCCAGGCGACGTGGATCAGATAACAGTTAAATGTAATTATAAAGTCAGTCAGTCTAGTTAGATATGAATCAACAGATGATAAGTTTATACTGTTTAAAGTTTCTCTCTCTCTCTCGAAGGGCAAGCACGTGTACAAATTCGCTGGTCATGTGGTAGGTATTTCACGGTTATATAGTAAGTACAGGTGAAGGGGGAGGGGGGATGGCACTATGAGTGACAACCATGGTAACACCCACGCCCTCTCCCCTTCGATTTCACTACACCTTGAATAGCTACACATATGAGGAACGTTGATATACATGATTATATACGACAGCATATTACACCTGGTACAAACACTTACACCTGGAACACATAACACTCAACGCTTCAGCTGGTACACAGACATACTTGATACACACGTTACACCCCAAATTACGTGCCGTCACACTTCGTTACCATCAAGCTGGTCCCGTCATCCCTCCGTCAAGGTACTGTTACGTCAGCGGGAAGGTGTCGCGGCAATATCCAAGTATGGTAACGTGATGGATCCTAAATATCTATGAGGAGGATCGGTCATCCACCCATACAGAACAACACCTCGGCAGCCACACGGCACAACACAACACCACAACAGCCACACAGCACAACACAACACCACAACAGCCACACAGCAAATTTATGTACCAACATCGTAAGGGACTCCAGCTGCGCTATGACTACATTTCCAGGCGAAGCTTAGGTCACGGCTCCTTGGTTGACCTTTACGGCAGGTTAACCGGGACCTGCTAGGTGGAATTATGATGGGGAGTGTGAGAGCTCCCATGGGGGACCTAGCAGAGCATCCGCAGCCCCGGGAAGGTGTAGGACGCCCCCAGGAGGACGCCAACCCCCAGGGGCAGGTGTCGTGCTCTCCTCAGGATGATAACGGGGTTTCCTCACTCCTCCAGATGAATGTCTGCAGAAGGCCATGTTTCCTCTCTTTTTCTTCACCGCTACCTCTACCGGGTACACGACCAGCAAGTTATCTACAAGTTACATCTCATTCCAAACAACTCTCCCTCATCACAGGTGTGACAGGTAGTAACGAAGTGCTTCACCTTCACCTCCACCTAAGGCCAGATACACACCTCCTCTCACCTGCTGGTCTCCCGTCTCTAGTATACCTGCCAACTGCTTCAAAGCTGAGGGGCAACTATCAACAACTGTTACAAAACATTCAGATCACCAGCCCTACATGATACTGTAAAAATAATATATACTATTGTATTATCTCTCTGGATCAAAAATTTTCAGGATCAAACATTTCAATGGCCAGTTCGCTACCTGTAGTTCGTATCATTTTACGCTTAAACGAAGATAATCCACACGTCTCTCTATCATCAAAACAACTCGTGAGACACCAACAGGTAAGAGGGGCAGCGAGAGAGGCAACAATACACAATGGACAGGTGTATGATGAGAGGCAGCATCCCGGGGAGGTGCTAGAACCATGACGTGTTGCCCCCCACCACACCTGATAAACAAACACACTGAAGGCGGGAATTACAACCATGCATGTATTACGGTATTAATCTGAAGGTCTCATTATATCAATAACTGTCAGCATGAAACTCGCATACAAGATAATGAGTCGCATCCGTTCATCAGCATCGAGTAGAATGATTTAGTATACACGACTAACATGACTGAGCCAAAGGCGAATGAACAGCGGTAGAGAATGAGTAGAAGACAAAGAATAAAACCAGAATGAGGAAATACACAAAACAAAGAGGAAAAGACAAACAAAACAACCAATAATGTGCTCTGGCCGGGTTAAAAAGAGAAGGAATAATCTAAGAATATTATTGAACTCCACAACAGCTATGTCCCTGTTACACACACCCACCCACACAGGAAGGTCAGATCTGAATCATCAACAATCAGATTCGAACAATGGCTGCTTAAAAAAAGGTGTATTGTTAACTTTGACAAAAATAAAAAAAATAATAAAAAAAGCCTCACTTGTACCTACAGCAGTTACATCACTTTATAAGACAAAAGTTGGTGTTAATTCTTCGTTATAAAGAAAAGAATCTATTATGGGATCTCAAGGAGCCAGTTCGTCGAGTCAAAGCTGATATGGTATGGTTTTGTAGTGTGTGTGTGTGTGGCAGACTCCCCTTAATTCCTTCCAACACTTAAACACACAATCAAATCATCAAGGGTAACAGGAAAGACTTAACACTTTACAGTCAACCTTCCACACTTAAATTATGAGAACCAAAACAGGTCGTATTCCTAGACAAGTGCTTCGGCTAATACTGGGAACATTTTATCTACAACCACAATCTTTTCTTTCTTTTTCACTTCCTTGTCTCCCCCCTGTGTGTTGTGGTGGACGGATTGTGATCTTTGGTGAGTTATTATATGTTAAGGGTCATTAGGATACTAACCCAATGACCATAAGACGTAGTTAAGAGAGGAACACATGAAACAAAATCAAGGAAGGAGCATTGACAGGGTAAATGGATCACGCAGGGAGCATTATGACAGTAGAGGATCAAGGGAGGAGCATTATGACACAAAAGGATCAAGGAAGGAGCATTATGACAGGTGGATCAAGGGAAGAGCATTATGACAGAAGGATCAAGGGAGGAGCATTATGACATGAACATCAAGACAAAAAGATGAAGGGGGAGGACTCACGGTGGTGAAGGTGACGGGCGTCTCCATGATGAACTGCCTCTTGGGGCGTCCCTCTCTCGTCCTGTTAGGGGGCAACCCGCCGCTGGTGCCGCCATTGTTGCTGTTGTTGTTGTTGGTGCTGTCTTTGTTGTTGTTGTGCTGGTGGTCGACGCTAGGTCCGCGCAGTCCTTTGGCACTGAAGGCTCGCTGAAGTCGCGCCGCCGTCGTTGACCGCTTCCTCATTAGCCCCTTCATCTTCTGCAGGAGTGAAGAAAGAAAACAATTATTATGGATGACATAAACAAGATGTTTTTTACACAAACACAGTACTTATGTTTTGTTTATTAAAGGTAAAAATAAAAGAAATTTCCTTCGATTCTACTTCTCAATAAAACGTTTACCATAATAATGAAAACGCTGGAATTATTCAAGATTGTATTTATTGAAACTACACAAATACAACCCACATTTCACTCGCAGACAGTGTATATGCTATTAAGTCAGCGTAAAAACGAGTTCGTAAATGGTCACAGTAATCAAGACAGGTACTGCTGCAGGCGCCCTCCCGTGGCCACACCTCTACCCTCACAGTGAACACTCCTGAGAAAAGCGACTTCCCAACACACAATACTGTACAGCCGTCCTTCAACCCTCAGTCAATCCTTAGGTTTTATTAATAGATAAGGTGTACCCCCAGCGGCTGACGAGGGTGAGTGCATCGTGGGTGGGGACTAGTACGCCATGGGGCTGCCAGAAGGGACCCGCATCTTCAGGCAACAATCTTCGTGTTCATGGTCTCAGCCAGAGGTCAAGCATATATAAAATAAATAAAAATAGACTCCAGTAAACAAGAAAGCAGGTAAAGATTGTGAATACTAGACTTGACGACAAAAATACGACACGCGACAAACATCTCGACACCTGTCCACATTGTTTTCCTGTACCAAAGGTGAGACAATTTTTTTTTGCTTTTGTCATAGTCCGTCAAGCGTCATAAATATACTTAAAGAAGTAACACTACAATACCCAATCCTAAGTTGTATATAATATTCCGGGTTGATAATTAGTCGCTAAGGTTTATTTTTTGTTTAAGATAAGTTATTGAGGACAAGAGTTACGGAGTACGATCACTCTCCCTCCCCTCTGTTCCTCTCTACTGACTGTTTTGAATAATATCATTCAGAGAGTTGCGCCACTTGTTCATTCACTCTACCTGTCGCCCACACCTGTGTTATTGACCCTAAACTCTCTAACACCTGTCACCTGTGCCTTAATCATCGTATGCATCTGTCCACGCACTCTAACCATAAGCTACACCTGTCCCACACATCATAAACATTGACAACACCTATCCAATAAACCCTAACTACTGCCAACACCTGTCCAATAAACCCTAACTACTGCCAACACCTGTCCAATAAACCCTAACTACTGCCAACACCTGTCCAATAAACCCTAACTACTGCCAACACCTGTCCAATAAACCCTAACTACTGCCAACACCTGTCCAATAAACCCTAACTACTGCCAACACCTGTCCAATAAACCCTAACTACTGCCAACACCTGTCCAATAAACCCTAACTACTGCCAACACCCGTCTCGAACAATATAAGCCATGCGCCACACCTGTCCATACACTGTGAGAGGATGAGCTACCTGTTCACCACACCTTTGGGAACACTGTCTTCTACACACCTGGCCCTGAGCAACAACCTCATCAAGGTTCCCACACCTGCCCCACCCCTAGCAGCGACGCCTCAGGTAACACACACACAACTGCCCCATCCCTAACAGCGACGCCTTGGGTAACATACACATAAATTGTACTCCAGGCTAAGGAAAAGCCAGGCAATGACAATCTACCAGCACCTTCCTGTAAGAGAGAGAGAGAGAGAGAGAGAGAGAGAGAGAGAGAGAGAGGTGTGTCCGGGTCTTTCTTAATACACCACCACTAACTCCCTGCTTACCTATATCACTTCATCTTAACAACAGGTAATTCACCCTCAGTAGCTCTCTATACCCAGAGGTGTCATCGCCGGCGTGACTAACCCCCACCCCCCCCTCCTACACCTGATTAACAGCGCTAATTCATATACCAGAGCTGGAGGCGAAACCGCAATTGGGTAGTAGTCCCACCCCTCTCCCTCTCTGCTAACTCGCTATTGGTCAGGAGAGCTGGTTGCATTCTCCTCTAATTGGCTATTGACTTCCCATTCAATTTGTTAAGGAGGAAATATATGACGATTGGATGACTATTTGTAAATATATAATAACCAATATAAAATAGATAAAAAACAATCTATCTACCTATCTATCTAACAATAGATCACAAAGTCACTTGATGAGCTTGATCTTGTAAAAAACATGACCACATCCTCTTACGAAAACCTACCGAGAAAAATTAAGAAACTGTATTGCGAAATTTTGACCCAGGGTGAGTCTGCAAGTAGCTGGGAACACCTGAAGAGCAACACCTACCTACACCTGCCTCCATGACTCACCTGGACTACACCTATACAGGGCTATCATGGGGCCCTAGTCAATACCAGTGCTCGATAACAGGTCCACCTGGTCAGCCCCGCAGGTATACCAGTAACTGTTGTCTCTCCCACACTCACCTCCTGCCGAGCGAGTATGACCCGTCGGTACTACTTGCAGAAATATTATTATACAACACCCACTACTGAGGTACCCAAGAGTGTTGGGTATAGCTCCTGTGGCCGCCATACTTAAGGATCAAAACACAACACAGCACAACACATCAACAACACAACACCGTATAACCAAATCACATCTCTATATCCTCCCTCCATAAGAATCATGACAACACACACACACACTAGTACAGTATTCACCAAAATAAATTAACCTTTCTGTTTCCCTTAAATAAGAGTCAACACAGGACTAGCCATCGCCTGGAATGTTAAAACACTGCAATATACCCCGAATGTCCACTTAGCATAAGGCTTATATACGCAAACCATTGTGTACCTCCTGGATCTCAACCCATTATGAGTCTTACTGCCTCCATACACAGTATCTAATATCCTGTGTGACTGAAGGAGTAACAATACGCCTTAAGGGAGTCTTCAGGGGCGGATGTCGTGTGACTTTCAGAGTACATGAACGAGTTGTCATTGGTTGACCTTATGGATGTAGTACTTAAGGTCGTTCATCCCCTGTAGCTCGGAGGTAATACTCGACTCAAGGGATAATGTTCTCTAAACCCACGAGTACTAGAGGTGTTATTTCTCTACCACACAGCTCTTGGCGGCCCAGATATGTAAATAACGAGAATGTCATAGCGGTGATCAGAGGTCGGCCACTAAAAGACTGTTAACTCAATCCTGTAACTGGGCGTGTGCCAACCAACCCTTCTATAACTGGCTCACAGAAGGTTCTAAACATACATGGCGGCCAAATAGATGGAAGTTCTATCATAGTTTGAGGTCTATTGTCTTAAATAATTAGGGAGGAGGGTTCTTTATCAATGGTTGAGAATCCGTACACTGACCCCCCCCCCACAAACAGGAACCGGTTGTGTTATGGCGGTATTAAAACCCAGATTAAGGAACGTTGATAAAGGAATTAATTAAAATCTACCTTAAAGAAGTAGTGAAGGTGGTGGTGCAGGTGTGAGAGAGAATCAAGATGGCGGTGTTTTATTTACGTCTATTGAAGGTATGTTTGTGTATATTATTGTTTATTATGTTTAAATATTACCAAGTTTTCCCGTCGTGTGTGTGTGTGTGTGTGTGTGTACCCATGCCCAGTGGTGAGGTGAAAGAGGAAGGAAGAAACACAAGGAAAAGTGGATGGGGGAGGGAGGAGGAGGAAAGCGGATGGGAGAAAGGAAAAGAGGAGGAAGAAGGGAGAGGGAGAGAGGATGGTGAGTAGAGAGGAAGGAAGGAGGGAGGGAAGGATGAGAAGGGAAGAGAGAAAGGAGAGTAGGGAGGAAGGAAGGGGGGAGGGAGGGAAGGATGAGAAGGGGAAGCCGGACGTGTTAGGGATGATCCTGGCTGTGCAACGGGGCCCCGGCGACCATCCTGGACAGCTCACCTTGCACACACACACACACACACACACACACACACACACACACACACACACACACACACACACACACACCACAAAACACAATTGGTTTTTATTTCTTTTGTTTTCCTCCACCGTATCAGGTCTCGGGATATAATCCAGTCTTTATAACCTTGGAATAAATAAACCCACTTTTTTACTCCCCAAATTTGGATCATGCATAAATTACTCACACCCACAGTTTTAAAAATCACCAAATAATCTCCCCCCCCCAAAAAAAAACAAGTAATTACGATTTTAATCACCTTGCCTTACACTCCCCAAATTATCAAGTTTAATTTCCTCCTAACTAGGTATGTATGTAACGTCTAATTACCTCAACTACAGCATAAACATAGTGGTGAGGATGGCATCACAATTGCCCTGAGACTGCATTAATCAGAGAGTTAAAAAGCCACATGATTTTTTCGGTGTTCTGGATCCAGCTTGGTGGTGTATTGGCGGCAGGACGATGGAAGGGCCAGTCACTGATGCCCCCGGGAAGATGTGAACGGGCGTGAGTAATTATGAATGAATGAGTCACTGTGCATGTGTGGAGGAGACAGCAGCTTTTGCGTGAGTCATCTTGGCGGGTCAGTTGGAGTCAGTCACTGAAGAGGGCGGTCAGAGTATGGAGACAAGGGGAGACTAAAGATAATTATAAGAGACAGAGGAAAAATATATAATGAAGATAAGGATGAGTTAAGAATAATGATGGAGGGGAGAAAACAGGAAATGGTGGCAGTAAGTAGTACCTAAGTGACAACATTTACGGTGTCAAAAACATGATGGGTTTGACAGCGTGACAAGCGTGGTGATGGCGAGAGTAGCAGAGTGACACATCAGCGTGACGGTGGTGACAGTAGCAGGAGGAGGGTAATGGGGGGAGGGGGGGAGGCAACAAGTGTGTCATGCAGGCAAGGCAAGAGACAGTCAGGGGAGTGTCAGTGTGTCAGCAGAGTGGAGGAAGTGAGGGAGTAAGTGTGGGGAAGTAGCCCACAAAATTACAGTGGCCAGAGAGTGGATTTCTGGCCACTAACGCTCCAGGGGGCCACCGCCACGCCTCCAGATGTGTGTATGTGGGGGTGGGGGGGGGACCATGGCTTTGGAAAGGAAGTGGAAAAAGGAGGAGTTGTAGGAACACACGAAGGAAGAAAAAGATGCTAAAGGAACTGAAAAACA